ATTTAACAGTACTAGGGTGTAATCCTGAAATTATATTTTTACATAGACTATCATCTTGGTCAGACTCAGGCACTGCTAGTTTATATAGGAGAAAAACCTGGTTGAAAAACAGTCCTGGTGATTCCCCTGTTCTTTGGGTCATTTTTGAAAGGTAAGAGAACAATGTGTCTTTTCCGAGGACTGCACACACCACCTTTGTTTATAGCTTTTTGTTTCCCCTGTTTAATTGTGTCTGGGAGCTCCTCCCGGTCCCCAGGCGGTGACCAGCTACAGAACACCCAGATCAAATCTCCAATTGTGAGCCCCTCTGATAGCCTTTTTGTATCCCACTTTAAAAGCCAGTTTATTACATTATCCTGATTAATTTGGTTCATAGTGGTAACCTGAACACCTAGTTGATTATATTTCAGTGGTGTTTCCTCTCTAATCTTTCTTGTGACTGGAATTTGGCTCCCAGGATCAGTAGTTTCACTTTTAGCTTGGAGCCATGGGGGCTGCTTTTAGATTGCTTCCCCCTTCTGGGCTGTACAAGTCATATTCATAATCATATTCAGTGTAAAATTGATCAGGGTCATCATCTTAATTTTCTGTGGAAGTGACAACAGCCACTATTCCTTGTTTAGCTTGAAGCTGCTCTTCCAACTGCCTGGTTTTTACTTCACTGTGGGCATGTCTACATGTTCATTAATGCACCTTTGCTACTGCGCATTAAGTTTAGTACCTTTAATATGAGGTACTAGATAACAGTGCAGTAGCTTTGCTAATGTGCAGTAGCAAAGGTGAGCATTTTTTTGTGATGCTTAATGCACAGTAAACAAATTTTGCTGTGCATTAGTACAGTTTTTGCCACGATGCGCTAATGTGCAGTAGAACAGTCCACTGCACATTAAGGCATCTTGTGTAGAGGTGCCCATTGTTTATGATCCCCCTACTCATATTGGGTTTAACTCCCCTGAGTGTGGTCCTAACTGCTGCCTGGCTGTCTTGCAGTTTGATGTTTATGCTTTTGAGCTTAGTACTTAATTTAGCTGCCTCTTACTGCCAGTATCTAACTTGTCAGTCAGCAGCTTGGAGATTAACTCTATCCATTAAAGTCCTACCATCCAAGTTTCAAACCTGTGCTTGTAATTGCTTGCATACATCCTCTTGGGCTTTCAACTGTGCTGTGACACCTTGATACTCCTCTAAAGTTTGTACTTTTTCTGATGTCATCTTTGCCACCATGTACAGTCTTTTAAGGAGAACTGCCTTCTTTCTACATTTTCCCATTTTTTAATTCTTTTTAATCCACCCATCCTATTCTTCACAGAGGGTCCTCCAGGGGTTTGGGGTGTCAAATGTACCCTGTTTCCATACTGTCCCCCCCATATCAGATTGCGTGAGATGGTCCTCCTTTTCCTCTTTATCAGGTAGGGTACTAGTACTACCCATGCCAGACTACTGACTTTTACCAGTGGGGAAAAAATCAAGTTGCAGCCCTGAGACCTCACTTATGCTTTAGCTGAAAACAAAAGTAAACACAGTGCAACCAAATTTCTACCACACTGTGCCAGGCAAACTGAGTTATCCTAAGGCTTTTTAGCCATAGTCCAGGCCTTCCCGGAACTAAGCAATAAAATTAAACAAGCCACAGGCTTAACACCTTCTGTGGCACTGGGAGATGCAAGTGCTGTGACTAGTGTGCTAGGTGAGCTAGGAACAACAGTTTCCATATAAGGAGTGCTTGGCATGATACCAGGGGATTGGACAATTTAGGATGAGAAAAGTTACAAAAGTAATGAACAAACAAAGGAATAGCTGTGTGTAGCATGCTGTGATTCTGGGAGGTCAGATGCAGCTGCTGCATCCCTGCTCGAATAGCCAGAAATTAACATCCCATGCACCCAGTGGAGGACCCGAGGCCTGATACTCCCTGAAGGTTGCCGCTGTAACGTCTAAGGAGCCACTTGCCAGGTTGTATTATGGGGAGGAAACATGTAACATTGTTTAGGGATTACTATTAAAGTTCACTTGATACCACATTGGACAAATTGCTGTGTCAACCCTTGGGGGGTCTGTGACAAAAAGAAATCCTATTGGTAACACCCACAGCAGTCTGTGCCCCACGTTGGGCACCAATTCTGCTACCCAGATTACAGGTAACCTTGTGGGTAGACTACTGATAAAAGAGGCAGAAACAGGTCTAGAGCCCAATCTTTTATTTGCTTGCACCTTAAGACATGAAAACAAACATTTATTCCGAAGTTTGTCTGGCTACCCATGATAGCACAATGCAGATTCTCACCTATACCAACTGAGCAGACTTGAGAAGTGGGAGAAGGGTGGCACACAGATTGGCAGCAGGTCTTGAATTTGCTGAGTTCTCCAAATTTCTCTCCAGCCTATGCCCGATATTTATAGATGGCTGGTTTTAATAGTCTAATAAATGATCTCTGATTGGTTTTATTAAAATGTCTTTGTTTCACTAAAACGTTTGGAGCTGGACTTTTAGAACCAGATCTCTTGTGGATTTGGAAGGTGTCAATTAATTGGGATTTATATCCTTGAGAAAGAAGGTATGTTTCTTACCTCCTTTCCTTCCCCATTGTGGAATTCTGTTCCTGTTTCATCTTTACCTGTAAAGGTTCATGCTACGGTCACTCAGGAACCGACTGTATGAGCATTCTGCTTAGCAACACTTCTGCAGCTTAGCCCACGTCCTTTGAAAATGGCCAAGGCTGGCAACAGAACAGCTCAAAGACACTAAGAACATCCTAACCTGCCACAGGTAAGGGGGGATGAGGGTAGTGTCAACATTTCAACCTGCACTATTCCCACCCTCCTGAATGAGCCCCCCACCATCACCTCCCCTTTCTCCCCCCATAACTCACTCAGGAACTCCCTGGTGCCTCGCAGACCTCCCTGTCCACTGAGCCACAAACACCCCCTGTTGCCCCAGCCTTTCCCCTGCCTACTCATACCTTATCACAAACACCCTTTCCCATCACTTCCCCATTATTGCTGGTAAGTTACAAACACACCTTGTCTCCCCCATCCCTGCATCACTAAGCAGTCACAAGCACCCTCTGTCACCTTATCCATACCTCAGCTAGTCGCAAATTGTCTGTTACCTTTGCTATCCTCACCCGCCTGCATGCAAACATCCCTTTTGTGTCCCTTAGTCCTATGCCAAACATCCTCCTTGGCTGCCTCACCTGTGCTAACTTAGTCCTGCCTTCTGTCATTTCCGTCGCACCTGTCCTGCAGAGTCACAAATACCCCCCACCCTGGCACCTCCCACATCATCATGCCTGCCAAGCCTCAACCTCAAGCCTTCTTGTCGCTCTTTCCTTCCATAGATCCCGCAGTCACAGAATAACACCTGTGACCTCTCCATTATGCCCTTGCCAGTAACAAACATACCTGTCATGCCAACCATCCTCTGCCTGCAGTTGCAAACAACCCCCTGCCTGTCACTGCCACCACCCCTCTGGGCTGTTCATAAACACACCTCTTGCCTCCATCGCTTCTCTACTATCAGCCAGTCACAACTGCTGTCTGTTGCCTGCCACTTTCCCCAGCCAGTCACAAACACCCCCCTCCCTTTGGCTTTCTTCGTCATCAGGTAACCAATGAGACCTGTAACAAAGAAGCAAGAAGCTGCCCCATGCCAGGGCGCAGCTTGCCAACAGGGGTGGGTCCTGCCCAGTGCCAGGGAGAAGTGTGCCAAGGGCACTTTTTTTTAACACGGCTGTTAGGCTGCAGACTGTGCAGGCCAACGGTGCTCTATGTTGGGGCCTGATCCTCAGGTCTGGTCTGTGCAAGGAGAACCTTAGCTGACTCCTCTGCTGTTACGGTCCTTCTGCCAACACAGCAGTGGTATTTTCAACCTGTGAGCTGGTTATCCACACTGAGAGATTGGGTGCCATCAGCACAGCCGCTGTGAATAACTTGAGCAGGAGCACTTGGGCGCTGCACAGAGCAGGAGAGGTAACAACAAGGGTAGGTATGAGTTGTGGCATCCCCATGTACCGTGGAGCCTGGAGAGTGAGGTTCGAGGGGTCTGCAGAGAGGTGTCCCACTGGGGCCCTGCTAACTGCAGAGTGCTTGTAAGCTCAGCACCAAAGGCAAGACAGAGGGACCGTGGATATTGTGTGCCCTCAGGAGAGGAATTGATAGCGAGCCAAGGGCAGCACTCTGCACATAGGCACAGGTGAGAACATGAGACTCTGGTGATCATTCAGGCAACGCGTGTCCTGGCACTGAACAAACCACCCCCAGTATTGCAGGCCTGGTTAAAGCCCCATCACACCATCCCTTGCCCTGCTGCTGTGGAAGTTGGCATTTCAATCTCTGTTGTAGAGTGAGGATAGAGTTTCACACCGAGGCCAGCAGAATTAGTCCAGATGGCAATCAAAGAGGATGGAGGAGATTTTTTTTCTAAATGTAATTTGTATCTGAGGCCAAATTAGCTCAAACTAATTCCAAATCCAAGTCCAGAACCATAAGTGGCCCTACTACTGGCAAACATCCTCCACCCGCACTTGGGGCTTCAGATGTTTTCAAAACCTTTGGTGGGCATCCTACTTACAGGCCCAAGCCCAGAGGCTTGGGGTCCGGATGCCCCCGAGTTTTGCTTGCCCTTAGCCATAAGGCCCTTGGAGCAAGCAAGGGGATGGAGGAGATGAGAAACCTTGAACACAATCACTCTGCTCAAGGCCACCCACCTCCTGCCAGCTCACCCAGCCCAGGTGAGGGCACTGTTTCTGAGCTTTCTCTGAAGGCCATGCCTGTCATTAGTTTTCATGTTTTTTTCTGGATTTTCCCTCTCCTGCACAAAGACCCTAACACAGCAGCCTCAGGTCCAACCCTCCCCTGCTTTAATCAATCCCCTAGGCCCCCTCCTTTCCTCCCAGAAGAAGGGATAGGAGTCCTGGCTTTACACCCTGACTCTAATCCCCTAGACCCCACTGTCCTCCAAGGGCTAAGAGACACAATCCAAACTTCTGAGCAAGGGATATATGCCAACCAGCAACCTCTGTCAGCAGCAATGGGTGCTTGGGTGAGTATTTATAGTGGAGAGGGAGTTTGCTTTGAAGAGTAAGAAAAACAAGATTGGCTAGAACCTGATCTGGGGGCAAGAGCAAGAAGAGAACAGAGTGGGTTCAGCTGCATGGGACATAGGAGTATGTCCCAGCAATGGGAAGGGGTAAATATTGGGTCAGGGCTCTCCCTTCCTTGCTTGGGGCTGGTGGGCATAACAAGGTTGTACCAAGGCTCTGTTCCTTGTATTCATCTGCCTCTCCCCTCTCCACTCTCCCCTCCCTGAGCCAAGGTTAACAACCCTCTTCTCACCACCCAAACCCCATGAGGCCAGGACTGGGCTGTGTGTGGGGAAGGGTCTCTGGGGGGGATAGGTGAGAGGGCTAGGATTAGGGGTAAGAGGCTGTGGGAATAGGTGGTGCCTGCAAGATGGGGGTGACAAAGGGTGACAAGCTGACTTTCCCTTTCCCCTCCAGCATGAACCCCTATGCAGGGTTGGTGAGCTGCCTTCGTGCTTCTTGGCTCACAGGGAAGACACGCCCCATGGAGTACCGGGTCTCCCAGCTGGAGGCACTTGGCCACTTTCTGGATGAGAAGCATCAGTCCATTTTGGATGCCTTGGCCTTGGACATGCACAAGGTAAGGGGAGGGAGGGGCTTGATCCCATGGCTCAGTGGGCTAGGAAGTTGGGGGTTTTCTGTGCTTCCCCTCTAGCACTGGAAGAAAGGAGGCCCCTAGGAAGTGCTGTCTTCCACACAGGCCAGATTTACCCAAAAAGGGCAGAAAACCCTGCTGGGTCAGAGAAACACGACTGTTAACTACAACTTCAGCCCAGGGTGACCGGCTTTCTCAGCCACACTGCCCCCAGGTCACAGAGCACTATGAAAATCTGGAGTGAGGCCAGCACTTGGTATGTAAGGAAGGCCAGAGAGTGTAGTGTTGGGCTTGGAGTTAGAGACACATGACAGCATCCTGCACCAGCTGGCATGTCCTTGGTACTGCAGATGTTATGCTCAGGTCTGGTGCACTGTGGGGTCTAGCTGGGAGATGGTGAAAGTGTTTAAGGCCAAAACCAAGCTATCATCAACCAGAATGGAGCACTCAGTCTCTTGGGCACCTAGCAAAGGTTGTGTCTCCTTTCCAAGCTGCCCTGGAAAAGGAGCTACAGTGTCTGTGCCAATGGATTAACTGAGGTAATTGTAGAGCCATTGGTTATTGCCTTTGGGAACTCGTAGAGGTCAGGAGAGGTCTCCAAAAACAGGAAAAGAGCAGATATAGTGCCTATCTTTAAAAAAGAGGAAAGGGCGAATCCAGGAAATTACAGATAGGTCAGTCTAACTGATACCTGAGAAAATATTAGAGCTTATCATCAAGGAATCAATTGGCAAGCACACAGAGGATAACACGGTGATAAGGAGCAGTCAACATAGATTTTTCAAATCAGTCACATATGTCCAACCTCATTTCCTTCTATAAACAAAGTGAAAGGCTTTGTGGACAGAGGTGGGGCACTGGATGCAAAATGCCTCAAATTTAATAAGGCTTCTGATGCTTTCCCCCTTGACATGCTCATAAGTAGGCCCTGGAAATATGTCCTGAATGAAACTGTTATAAGGAAGGTCCATAACTGGTTGGAGAATCATACGCAAAGAGTAGTAGTCAGTAGCTCAATATCTAGCTGGGAGAAGGAATGCCCTATGTCTAGTACTGTTTAATATCTTAATGACTTGGAGCAGGGGTCAACAACTCATGGGCTATGTGTGGCATCCCGCCTGTGAACAGGCTAGGTCCACTGCAGTTCAGGAAATAGGAAACACCTCCATCCACCTAGTCTCTCTGCAGCATGAGGTTGATATCTCCAGGGTCCTAGCACCCACCCTTTCCTATCTAGAGCCTTTACAGCACCTGTTACTTGCGGGCGGGGGTGGCCTGAGGCAAGAGGCTGGGTTGCAAATACTGGCCCATGGTGGCAAAAGGTTGCCAATCCCTGACTTGGAGGATGGAGCTGAGTGTACACTTAATAAATCTGAGGATGAAACCAAGCTGAGTGGAGTAACAGGCACTTGGTAGGGTTAGGATTCAGAAGGCCTTGATACATTGGGGAAATTGCTTGAAATAAATCAGATGACATTCAGTGAGGACACTTAGGACAGGACAATAAAATGAACAAATCAAAACTGGGGAACAACTGGGTCAACTGCAGTACTGTGAAAAGGACCTGCAAGTATAGTGGACTGCAAGTAGACTAGGAGTCAATAGTGCAATACCACTGTAAAGTAGTGGGATCATCTGCAAGTCACAGGAAGTGGTTCTTCCACTCTATTCAGCACTGATGAGGTGTTTCAGGGAGCACTCTGGCCATTTTTGGATACCACCTTTCAAGAAAGACATGGACAAACTGGAAAGCGTCCAGAAGAGAGCAACAAATATACTTAGAGGTCTAAGAAACATGACATGAACAAAAGTTGGAAGAACTTGGATTATTGAATGTGAAGAAAAAAAGATGGAAGGAAGACTTGATAAATATTTTCAAATACAAAGGTTGCTATAAAGAAGATATTCTTTGTGGCCACAGGCTTAAATTACAACAGGGGAGATTAAGGTTAGCTTTCACAAAAATCTGTCTAGATATAAAGAGATAATCACTGGAAAAAGCTTGGAGGAGTTATGGGATCTCTGCTGTTGGAAGTTTATAACTGCAAGTTAGATGAATGGTTGTCTGGGATGGTCCTGTCTTGAAGAGGGCATTAGATTAGATAACCTCCTGAGATCCCTTTCAGCCATGAATGCTACGTGCCCCCAGAGGCTGAGGGGGCACAGCGAGCTCCCGCCGGTGGCAGCGGCAAGCAGGGAGCTTCTGCAGGCAGCTGTGGTGCTGTTGGTGGTGGTGGTGGTGGTGGGGGTGGCGAGTGCTGACTGGTGGTTGGCGACTGCCTGTAGACGCTGCTGGTAGTGGTGGCAGCGGACAGCAGCGATCGTGGACCACCCACAGATGCTGCCAGCAGTGTCAGCGGTGGTGAGGGGGTGAACAGTGATTGCCTGCAGGCGCCGCCGGCAGTGTCAGCAGTGCCTTTTCACAGGAGGTGCACCACCATGCTCAGGGGATGCACATGCACTCACGTCCGTCCCCTACACATTGCCAATGCTTCCAGCCCCATTTTTATATGGTTTAATGAACAGAACAGTGTCTCTTGGTCCAGAGCCAGAATGGGTACTAACACTGCTGTGTCTCCTAGCCCCAGTTTGAAGCAAAGCTTTCTGAGACTGTCCTATGCAAGAATGAGCTCAACTACACACTCAACAACCTGAGAAGCTGGATGAAGGATGAGCATGTGGACAAGAACATGGTAAGACAGGATGCAGCCATAGTGTTGAGCCAGGGGGAGGTGTTGGGGCTCTTATTCCATGGCTTAGTTCATTCCCTGGCTCCCCCAGGTCCTGAAACTGACTCCCCTCCACCCCACAGGTGACTCAGCTGGACATGGCCTTCATCCGCAAGGACCCCTATGGGGTTGTGCTGATCATCGGGCCCTGGAACTATCCTGTCAATCTCCTCCTGGTGCCACTGATTGGGGCCATTGCTGCTGGTGAGTCAGAGGGTGTGTCCAGTGCAGAAGCTTGACCCCAGCACTGATTGTGCCCCCTGGCTGTGGCAGGGCAATCAGGGCTGAACACAGATCTCCTGTTACCAGATTTAATATTAGACTTTAGGCAATGGCACTGAATTCATAAATGCTTGAACAAGAATAGTCCATTCTCTGAAGAGAGCATCTATTGAGCACAACAATTCCCAACTTCAAGCATACAACGAAGAACAACAGAAAAACTTCACCCAAGCTAAGACACCACCCAGTAAAACACAGTGAGAATACACACAACTTGGTTTAATTTTAAGTGAAATATAATAAACCAAAAAGACAACAGAAAGCCTCTGTGTGAGTCTTACATAGTCCCGAAGGCAAAGTGTCTCCTTACAGCCAGGGATTCAGAAAGTCCTTCTGGAAGGTCTGTAGGTCTTTTTAAGTGTTGGTGGGGGAAGATTCCACAGGCCTTATCTCTGCCCGGATTTTTATAGGTGAATCTGTACCTCCTTCTCTCCTTTGGGTGCCCTCAACCACGGTCACATATAGCACACCCCTCATGTATAGCACACTTCTCATACGTTCAGTGTATTCCAGTTTCTCACCTCTTACAGGTTTTGCTTTGAAATGTATATTCAATCCTTTGCTTTCTTTGGTCATACTAGCCCACACAATCTGGGATCCTCCCCTGCTCCCTTAGCTCTGTCTCCAACATGCACATGTGATGATTATGCCAGGTCTTTGCCAACACTCCTGGGCAGGATTTCTGGACCAGGCCCCACCAGCTCCTAACCAGAATCTCACTCTCATTCCTTTGGACATTTCTCCCTGCAGTGCTCTCTCACTGAGTACTGTGGTGTACTGGGAGTACAGTTGTAGATGAGTCTCTGGGTTGCACAGTGACATTCCATTTGCCCTCTTCCCAGGTAATTGTGTCATCCTCAAACCCTCTGAGATCAGCAGCTGTGTAGAGAGGCTCATGGCTGAAATGCTTCCCAGCTACCTGGATAGGGTAAGGAACTGTACCCTTGCCAGCCTATGGGTCCTTAGGCAACTTACACATTGTCACCTGACACCAATCCCACCTGTAGTGATCCCTTCCAAGGGCTTAGCTGTCCCCGTTCCCCCTGCCCTGTAAGCCCAGCTGTCCTCAACACCATGCATGCTTCCATGCACTCTCAGCAAGCACCAGCAGTCCCCAGTAGTAGATCCATGCCCCTCACTGGCATATGCAGCCAGTATCCATACTCTACCCCATACTTACTCCTTCCCTCCACTCCTCACTTGCAGCCAACTCCATGGTCTGCTTAGCATCACAACAACTAAACCTCCCCTTTCCTGCAAACCTCATGGCCCCCATCTTCATCCCTTCCTGCCTCTTTCCCCTGCATCCAAAATGAAGAGAGCAGGAAAGGAGCTGGGTAGAGGGAAGGAATGGGCCAAGTCCTAGCTTGCACACACATAGTCTCCTCCCTCATTCCAGGACTGCTTTGCTGTGGTTACTGGTGGCATAGAGAAGACCACAAAGCTGCTGGAGAATAGATTTGACTACATCTTTTTCACTGGTAAGTCCCAAGTGAGCCTGCTTCAGCACTATCCTCCCTTCTACCCCCTGGGGGTAGGGGCACTGTCTAACACCTCACCTACTTATCTGTTTCCTTAACCCTGTGGGAGTCAGCAATCAGTCGTCCCCCCAGAGCTGTGTGTGAGGGCACTGAGCTTGTGCCCAGGTCAGGGATCTTGTGCCTTCAGTGTTGTCCTGAGTGCCAGGAGGGGGTGCTGCAAGGGGTGTGATTTTGGCTGAGTGACAAATACCAATGGGTACCTTGGAACAAAGGGTTGGGAGGGCTCATCCAAGAGTGGAAAAAGGCCTTTGATATGATATCTCATTCTGTTCTTGTAAATAAACTGACAGGCTGTGATGTAGATGATTACATGGTCAGGTGGGTGGCAAATTGGCTTAGGGGTCGCACCCAGAGAGTGGTGGTGGACGGGTTGATATCGACCTGGAAAGATGTAGGCAGCAGAGTCCTACAAGGTTCAGTCCTTGGACTGGTGTTATTCAATGTCTTGATCGGTGACTTGGACGAAGGCGTAGCGAGCACCCTGTCCAAGTTCACAGATGTTACCAAATTATGGGACAAAGTTAACATACCAGAGGGTAGGGAGTGGATCCAGGCAGATCTGGACAGGTTGGAAAAATGGGCAGAATGAAATAGGATTCAGTTCAACAAAGACAAGTGCAAAGTGCTGCACCTGGGCAAAAAGAACCACCAACACACTTACAGGCTGGGGGATGACCTTCTCAGCAGCACAGCAGTGGAAAGAGATCTTGGAGTCATAGTTGACTCCAAGATGAACATAAGTTGTCAATGTGACAAAGTGATCAACAAGGCTAACCGCACTTTATCATGCACTAGGAGATGCATGACGAACAGGTCCAGGGTGCTTCCCCTCTATGTGGCACTGGTCAGACTGCAGTTGGAGTACTGAATCCAGTTTTGGGTGCCGCACTTCAAAAAAACCGCGGAGAATCTTGAGAGGGTCTGAAGGAGGGTCACTCGTATGGTCAGAGGCCTGCAGGCAGGGCCCTATGAGGTGAGGCTGAGGGACCTAGATCTCTTCAGCCTTTGCAAGAGAAGGCTGAGTGGTGATCTTGTGGCTGCCTATAAATTCATCAGGGGAGGGCAGCAGGGAATAGGAGATGCTCTATTTATTAGGGCACCCCCTGGAGTAACTAGGAATAATGGCCACAAATTGGTGGAGAGCAGATTTAGGTTGGACATTAGAAAGAACTTCGTCACAGTAAGCATTGCCAGAATCTGGAATGGGCTTCCAGGGGAGGTGGTGCTCTCCCCTACCTTGGGGGTCTTTAAGAGGAGACTGGACAAGTACCTAGCTGGGGTCATCTGACCCCAGCACTCTTTCTGCCCAGGGCAGGGGGTTGGACTCAATGACCTACCGAGGTCCCTTCCGACCCTAACATCTATGAATCTATGAATAAGCTCACCAGGGGATGGGTGGACAACCATCGGAGCAAGCTCACGAAGCATCAACTGCAAAACCAGCAGGTTAGGATGCTCAAGGGAACCCACTCCTACCCCAACCCAGGAACAGAGCTTCTCCATGAGTACAAGGAAGCCTAGGGCCTCCAACAGCACTTATATGCCTGTACACTAATGCTAGGAGTTTGGGGAATAAACAGGAGGAGCTGGTCCTTCTGCTAAACAGAAATTACTATGACCTCATAGGGGTCACGGGAGTCTGGTGGGACTCCTCCTATGACTGAACTACTGGTATAAATGGCTATACCCTGTACAGGAGAGATCATGCTGAAAAAGGGCGGGGGTGTAGCTCTTTACGTGAAGGAGAGCTACACGTTCCCTACAAGCTGAGATTGGCACCCAAGGAGAATGACTGGAGACCCTTTGGGTTAGAATACGAGGGGAACATAGTGAGACCCCTGGAGGAGTCTCACTACAGACCTCCAAACCAGGAACAAGAGCTTGACCAAGAATTTGCCAGGGAACTGGCCGAAGCTGCATGCTCTCAGTGCACGGTCGTCATGGGAGACTTCAGCTACCTGGACATCTCAGGGCCAAATCCAATCAGTCACAAAGCTTCCTTACATGTGTGGATGAGCTCTACCTGTCCCAAGAAGTTTATGGGCTGACAAGAGGCAAGGCACTGCTGGACCTGGTACTGGCCAAAGGGGATAATCTAATCAGCAACCTAAGAATTGAAGGGAAGCTGGGTGACAGTGACCACAAGAAGATCACTTTCACTATCCATTGGAAAGCTGGCAAGTCAGGCAGCAATGCAGTAGCCCTTGACTTTAGAAAAGCTGACTTTCATCAGCTTAGGAGGCTTGTTCTTGAGGCCCTGAGAGGCCACGATTTCACAGGGAGAGGAATTCATGATGAGTGGTTGCTCCTTAAGGAAGAGATCCTAGAAGCACAAGGGGAGTCCATCCCCACCCGTAGGAAAGGTGGTAAAAGGGCTTAACAACCCCCTTGGCTCAACAGGGAATTCATGGACCTCCTACATCTAAAAAGAGAGGAGTATAATGAATGGAGGACAGGAAACACCACTAAGAGGAGTATTCTGCACTGGTTTGCACCTGCAGGGAGCAAACTAGAGAAGTCAAGGCTGCAGCTGAATTTCATCTGGCTACATGAATCAAGGACAATAAAAAGTCCTTCTTCAGGTATGTGGGTGGTCATAAGAAAAACAAGAGCAATATTAGACCCCTGCTAAATGCAGCTGGGGCAGCTGACTACCGACACCCAGGAAAAAGCCAATCTGCTTAATGATTACTTTGCATTGTTTTTTCACCAGCCCAAAGGGACCACCCTGCCAAACATCATGCGGGATGACAGGGATGGAGATGAATATATGCCCACCATTAGCATGGATCTTGTGAGGGAGCATCTTGAGAGGCTGAACCCCCATAAATCAGCTGGTCTGGATAAGTTGCACCCAAGAGTGCTAAAGGAACTGGCAGACATCATAGCACAGCCACCGGCGAGGATATTTGAGAACTTGTGGTGCTTGGGCAAAGTACCTGAAGATTGGAAGAGGGCCAATGTGGTGCCTATCTTCAACAAATGGAGGAAAGAAGACCCAGGAAACTACAGGCCAATCAGTTTGACTTCAATCCCTGGGAAGAAAATGGAAAAAAGTATCAAAGTAACCATTCTTGACAGGCTTACAGAAAGCATCATTCTGAGGGATAGTCAACATGGGTTTGTTGTGGCTAGGTCTTGCTTGACCAATCTCATTTCCTTCTATGACCAGGTGACGTATCACTTGGACAAGAGGGAAGAGGTTGATGTCATATATTTGGACTTAAAAAAAGCCTTTGACCTGGTGTCCCATGATGTCCTCATGAAAAATTTGGGTAACTGTGGCCTCAACTACTGCACAGTCTGATGGCTGGAGAACTGGCTCCAAGGTCAGACCCAGAGAGTGGTAGTTGATGGAACCGAATCATCATGGCACTCAGTGACTAGTGGTGCCCCCCAAGGCTGTGTTCTTAGACCTGTACTCTTTAATGTCTTCATAAACAATCTGGACGCTGGTGTCAAAAGTGAACTGACCAAGTTTGCTGATGACACCAAACTTTGGGGAAGAGTCTCCACACTTGAGGATAGGCTGGTGATCCAGGCTGACCTCAACAGACTTGCAAGGTGGGTGGATGAAAACCTGATGGCATTCAATATGGAGAAATGCAAGGTCCTCCACCTTGGGAATAAAAACCTGTATCACATTTATAGGCTTGGCAATGCTACACTTGCTAGCATCATGACTGAAAGAGAATTGAGGGTCACAGTTGACCACAAGATGAATATGAGCCACCAATGCAGTACCGCAGCTGGCAAAGCAAACCAAACTCTGGCTTGCATCTACCGATGCTTCTCTAGCAAATCCCAGGATGGCATCGTCCCAGTGTACTCAGCCTTGGAGTACTGCATCCAATTCTGGGCTCCACAATTTAGGAAGGACGTGGAGAAGCTTGAGAGAGTCCAGAGGAGAACCATGCGCATGATCAGAGGGCATGAGAACGGCCCTTATGAAGAGAGGCTGCAAGCTATGGGACTCTTCAGCCTGGAGAAGTGCAGGCTCAGGGGTGACTTGGTGGCAGCCTATAAGTACATCAGTGGTGTGCATCAGGATCGGGGGAAACACTTGTTCACCAGAGCACCCCAAGGGATGACAAGGTCCAATGGTCACAAACTCCTGCAACACCGTTTTAGGCTGGACATAAGGAAAAACTTCTTTACTGTCTGAGCCCACAAGTGTGGAACAAACTCCCTCCAGAGGTGGTTGCAAGCACCTACCCTGGACACTTTCAAGAAACATTTGGACTTTTTTCTTGCTGGGATCCTTTGACCCTAGGTGACTTTCTGCCCCTGGGCAGGGGGCTGGACCCAATGATCTTACAAGGTCCCTTCCAGCCCTAATGTCTATGAAATCTATGAACAGAAAACCTGAATCCCTGGAGATCAGGAACAGCCAGTGTGGATTCAAAAAGAGCAGGTCAGGCCTGACCAACCTGATCTCCTTCATTGGTTGAACTCTATGGGTGGGAGGAGAACAGTGGATGTGATATACCTGAACTTCAGCAAGTATTTTGAAACTGTGGCATGGCATTCTCATTAGTGAGATAACAAAATATAGTAGTAATCTGTACCAGGGGTGTATAATATATGGTTTTCAGGCCATGGAAGTGATCCATCCAAACCACAGGGCTTTTCATGGATTGGACCATCCACATCTGTGGGCTGGATTAGGCCTACAGGCCTCCTTGCAGTAGCTGCTGGAGTCCCTGCAGTTGTGGAGTTAATCCCCATGGCTGCCAGAACTGCTATTTCAGTTTGCCTCCAGAACCCAGAGTTAACATCACTTCCAACCCCCTTCCCCAAAATCAGGGGTTTTAGTTGCCTGGGCAACTAAAATTGGTGGCAAGGGAAAAAGGTGGGTAGTAAGCAACAGAGGCATTAAATCTCCATTCTGGAGCTGTGCCAAACCCATAACTGTCAGCTATAGGAATTAACACTGCTGATGCCACTCAACAGTTCACCTGGGAACAGGTATGGGAAGCACTGTAGGCTGGATTTGGCCCACATGGCAAATAACTTTAAGGTTAGGCAAACTTTAAGGTTTGCCTAAGAAAGACACCTCTTTCTTAGGCAAAACTACTGGAAGGAAAATGCATAACTGCTTAGAGCAGTGGTGCTCAACCTTTTTTCTTGGCAGGCCGGATGGGCAGTGCCCAGTCTGTTCATGGGCCAGATGTGGCTGGTGGCCCTGATTCAGTACCATCTGGCCATATGGAGGGGATGGGGGCAGCCCAGCCTGATCCAGCCCTGCTGGGGGAAGGGGGAGTGTCGCACCCCCATCCAGCCCTGTGGGAAGAAGGTGGTGTGGTCTGGCTCTAACCTGGCTGCATGGGGAGAGGGGCTGTAGCCTAGCTCCCATTCAGCAGGGCAGGGGGTGTGGGGAAGAGCATGGCCTAGCCACAACCTGATGGCACAGAGAGAAGAAGGTGTTGTCTGGCCCTGTTCTGGCTGTGCTGGCAGAGGGGGCTGGGAATTTGGCAGTGGGGGAGGGCGGCCACTGCTCACCCACCACCAAATTTCCCCAGAAGACCCGCAGGTCAGATGCTGCATTTGGTATGTGGGATCAAAGTTGAGCCCCCCTGGATTAGAGTGATCATTGTGCTCAAAGAGTTGTCATCAGTGGTTTGATGCCCAGTTGGGAGGAGATATCAAGTGAGGTTCTCCAGGAGTTTGTCCTGTGTGCTAGTATTGTTTAGTAACTTTCTTAATGATTTAGAAGATGGTATTGAGTGGACGCTTAGCAAATGTGCAGATAGCACCAAACTGGATGGAGTTGTTGACAATCTGAAGGCTAGGATTAGGATTCAGAATGAGGTTGGTAAATGAAGAAACGGTCTAAAATTAATTGAATTAAATTAAGTTCAAAATCCTGTGCTCAAGATAGAACAACTACATGTACAAATATAGACTAGGGAATGACTGGCTAGGCTGCAGTACTGCAGAAAAAGACATGGGGATTATAGTGGATCATAAACATAATATAAATCAACAGTGTACACCTGTTGCACCCCACCCCCAACAATAGCATACCACACTGTATTAACAAGAGTATCACTTGTAAGTCAAGGGAAATCATTCTTCCACTCTCCTCACCACTGGTGAGGCCTCACCTGGAGTATTGTGTCTAGTTTTGGACACTGCACTTCAAGAAAGATGTGGGCAAGTTAGAAAGAGTCCAGAAGAGACCAACAAAATGCTGAGAGGTCTAGGAAACATGACTTAACAAGGAAAGTTGGAAGAACTGGGCTTATTTAGTCAGAAGAAGAGAAGACTTAGGATGGACTTGATAACAGCCTACAAAAACCTGAAGGCTGGTTATACAGATGATTGTGATTCACTATTCTTTGTGGCTGCAGGGGAAAGAACATGGAATAGCAGTCTTAAATTTCAGCAAAGGAAATTTAGAATACATATTAGAAAGTTTCTCAGGAGGATGTTAAGCATTGGTGTAAACTATATACAGAGTTTGGAGAATCTCAATCCTTGGAAGTTTTTATGAGCAGGTTAGACAGCTGGATATGTAGGATGGTTTAGTCAAGGATGATCCTGCTTTGCTCCCCCTGAGCAGGGGGTTGGATTAGATGACCTGATTTTCTGTCCTATGATTCAATGAAATTCTCGTGAGCCTGCTCAGGATGGCAAGAACATGTGTCCCTCGCTACTTTCTCCTGCAGGCAGCACCAGTATAGGCAGGATTGTCATGGAGGCTGCAGCTGAGCATCTGACACCGCTAACCCTGGAGCTAGGGGGCAAGAACCCCTGCTACATAGCTGATGATTGTGACTTGCAAAGTGTGGCCAACCGGCTAGTCTGGGGGCGCTTCTTCAATGCAGGGCAGACATGCATTGCACCCGACTATGTGCTGTGCACCTTGGAGATGCAAGAGAAGCTGTTACCTGCCCTGCACCGTGCTATTGCTGACTTCTATGGTGCCAACCCCCAGGAGTCACCTGACTTCGCCCGCATCATCAGTGACAAGCAGTTCCAGCGTGTGCAGTCCCTTATGGATAGTGGACATGTGGCGATTGGAGGGCAGACAGATGAGAAGGAGCGGTATATTGGTGAGAGACCCTGGATTAGGAACATGGATTTTGAGAGAGTGTCCAGATCTGGTTGGCAGAGTAAGAGATAGGCAAAGCAGGGCAGGGCACCTCCATGTGGGAGACCTGAGCTAGTTGGGGAGACAGAAGAGTGGAGTTACAGTCACAGGGCAGGGCCGTGGTGGGAGGGACACCATATGACCCCACTGTGGTGACCTCTGCTCTCCCTCTACAGCCCCTACGGTGCTGGTGGATGTGCCAATGTCAGCACCTATAATGCAGGAGGAGATCTTTGGGCCGATCCTACCCATTGTCACTGTGGCCAACTTGGAGGAAGCCATTGACTTAATCAATACCCAGAAGCAGCCGTTGGCTGTGTATGTCTTCTCCTCTAACAAGAAGGTGTGTGGCTGGGCTTCAGAAGGGGCACCTGGTTCAGGTGAAGCAGAATGGTGCCTAGATGGTCTGTGGAATGGACAGGGATCAGGGCTAAGATGGGTCATGATTAGGATGACCATAATAATTTGAGGGACATCTGGGACAGGATGGACACTGGGGAGCGGGGCGCACCAACACACGCATGCATGTGTGTATATACACATACACACCGAAGTGCACCCCTCCCCCAACCCTGACTCTACTGTACAAATGTCTGTTCACAGCCCAGTGGAGTCTGGACCCGGAAGCAACCCATTGCTGAGCTCCCTGGAGAAAAAGCAAAAGTCCTGGTTTGGCACAAACCTACCCACATGTGCCTGGCTCCTGACTCAGGAGCTGTGTGTGTGTGTGTGTGTGCAGGCTCCCGCCAATCCAAGACTTTTGCTTCAATTTTCTCCAGCAGCTGGGATGCTGAGACAGCCTCTGAAATCTGTGACTGTCCCAGCCATATGGTTATTCTAGTTATGATGGACAACAGTTGAAAGGGTCTGTGCCTGTACTGGGCTTTTACCCACTCATACCTGGCTTAGGAGGGGGCAACATTCAGGCTGTTTGCTGTGACTCATGTTTGGTCCAGTCCAAAGGGAAGAGCTTGACTTGAGTTGTATTCAGGCCTGCACCTGCTCAAGCAGGACGGGTGGCCCCCACACCCTGTGTGAGTCTGGGTGACCCCACTTGGGCCTGATGGAGGAGATCTGGAGTGTGCAAGGTGTGAACTGCAGTTGGCCACAAAATGGAGCTCCCTCATCCTCTTCTCTGCTTCCCCCACAGGTGGTGAAACAGGTGCTGGAGCAGACGAGTAGTGGTGGTTTTGCCAGCAATGACACCATAATCCAAACAACATTGATCACACTGCCCTTTGGTGGGATTGGTATGTCTAAGTCTCCTGACCTGCCTTCCCAACAGTGTTACCTCTCACTAAAAGGTTAACTATAATGGTTAGCTTTCACTTACTGCAGGGTGAGCATGAGCATGCGGGCAGTTACTTCATATTAGCTGACATGGTAGATCCCAACTCCCTTGTACTTCAATGTAAGTGTATCATATTTCTGTACTGCTACACCTTGGATGGTTCTAAACCTTCCCCTGGCTTACAGCCTCAGTTTCTTCCTGACCAATTTGTACTTGTTTGTTCTTCTCCCCGCATTATCTTATAGTATCAGTGGCTCATCTCCTTTCCTGGTGTTCTCCTTGCTGCTTTGTTTACAAAGAGCAACCACATTTCCTCTCAGTCTTTCTCCGGTGAATTTAAACAACCAGGACTCTTTAGTCCTTCCCACCATTCTCCCGATCATCCTTCTTGCTGCCTTTGTATCTGCTCCAGTTTGAAGTCATCTTTCTTGAATGTGGATGACCAGTACTGTGTTCAGTTTTCCAGACAGTCTTGTCCTGACCCTGTCCTCTGGCATGAATACTTTCCTCTCATTACTGGCAAGGCATCTTCTGCTCCATCCTAAGACTGCATTACACACATAACCCACAATAGCATGATTTCTATGACTATAGTTTTTGTGCCTTTTCCTTAAATCTCAAGCCTTATCTGCATTACAAACCCCTGAGCTTCTTATGCCTGGTGACTTCACTGACTGGCCCCCTTAATTTCTCCAAGTTTCCTCTTTAGAATTTGAAAAGCTTCATTATGGACCTTAAAAATCTTGTGATCATTTATTTTCGCGTACTTTCTACCATCAGCTCTTCCATAATGTCTTCCTTTGTTACCACATCTATGTCTAAACTAGCATCACCTCTTCTTGGTTGTGCTGTGGGGGTAGTGGGGTACAGTCCTGCCCTCATCTTGCTGTCTGTATGTTGCAGGTCCGAGTGGCTTGGGGAAGTACCACGGCAAGTTCAGCTTTGACACCTTCTCTCATCACCGTACTTGTCTCATGCACCTCATGGACCAGGAGAAATTGAATACACTCTGCTACCCACCTTATGCCCAGCACAATCCAGAGTCTCTGCTATCCACCTCTGAGATCAGGCGCAAGAGCACCTGCAACCTGCTGTGATGGGAAGTGTGGGCTGGCCTGGCTGAGCCCAGCTGCATCCAACCTATTGCCATGCCAGCCTACTGAGTGCACACACCTGCGACTGCACAAGAAGGGAGAAGGTCTGTTGAGCTAAGCCCTATCTCTCCCTACCCTGGCTGACCAGGAAAATAGTGTGTGTCCCCTGCCCTTTTTCCACCACAAGCAGATGTCTCTGCTCCCCCCAGCCTCCATCCCATCCCGGCAAGCTGCTGCCCCTGCTAGCCTCAACTAGTCACAAACACAGTGGTTTCCATGACTGTCCCCTTTTGGCAGGACATAAAGACCCCCTATTTGCTTCAGCTATCACCCTGCCCACTCATGCCCCCAACACAGTCTCAAACACATTTTTCATCACCTCCCCATTACCCTGAGGCAGTTACAGACATCCCCCATCCTCTTTCCCAGCTGCTCAGGCCAGTGGGATGTGCGTTTCCCCTAACTTCCAGCACTGCTTCCCCAATTATCCCCACCCACAAACAACCACATAGCCTCACTCACCCCTCACTCAGTCACAAGTCTGTTGCCTCACCCACCCAACTTGTCCATTCATAGACCCCTTGATGCCTCAACCATTCTCAGATCCATCCACAGCTCCCCAATGCCTCCTCCATACCCACTGTTGCTTTAGCCCTCCTTCAGTCACAACCCCCTTCCCTTGCCTCACCCATCCTTTGTCCTGTCACAGACATAACCCTATCCCCTCAATCATTTCCCCTCACACGTCCAAGTCTCAAACTTCCTATCACTTCACCTGTACTAGGACCTTGCTGCACAGCAATTTTGGGTGGCTCCTAGAGCTCTTAACTCCTGGATTGTCTTTACATTAACACTTAAAAATAGTTTCAAGCACTTGTTATGTTGCTCAAAGTGATGCCACTCCAGGACAGGATCCATGCTATCCAGCTTGAGTTATACTAAGGTGTAACCACTTTAGGCTACACCTTAGTATAAGCACCCCACTTGCCCCTCCTCTCTCACTGAACAAGATCGGGCCCACTGCCTCCTGTCTGCCCTCCCCAGCACCCCTGATCCCCACTTACTGCCTCCTGCTTCCCACCCCCATGCTTACTTGTGGCTGCCTGTGCTGTCTGTCCTGGGGAACAGGCAGGGAAGGGTTAGTCTGCCTGCTTGGCTGCTGCCAATTCTGCTCCTTGGGCAGGTGGGGAGGAGGCACTGGAGGACCCTGGGGGGTGGGGGAGGAGGGAGGGGTCAGGGGAAAAATGAAAGGGGGTGGATTCTTACCTTTTGGCCCTCCAGTCCTCTGCTGGCCTGAATATGTGACTGCTCCAAACTCAAGCTAGCATTAATACCTATCTGTATTTGTACGGCTCACACTGGATGTGTCTACACATCCATTAGATTTGGGAGCAGTTTACAAACAAGTACAGGCAGTCCTTGAACTTAGAACAGTTGGTTCCTGAAAACTGTGTCTTAAGTCAAAACGTAGCTTGGAACCAATTTTCTCATAACAAACCTATGTTATAAATGGGGGATTGGTTCCCAAACCAAGGCCCGATACCCTATTTTCACAAAAATACCCCAGAATTTTGTACTCAATCAATTATACATGAGTAATATAGCATTAATGTATTTATATTGTAAATAGCAATCATATTGATTTGGAAGGACTTCTTTAAGGTGACTTTCCTGGACTTTTTGAAGGGCTCTTGGCTGGATTCTTCTCAGGAGTCTTGGCTGCAGGTTTTTCTGGAGTTTTTTCTGCCTTAAAGAAAGTGTCCAAGGAAGTTTGGACAGATGTTCTCCAGGGAGATGAGCAATGCAGGGGACTTGTTCGCTGGTGTGGCGTTGCATCGGATTAAACGTTGTAAAGCTGAAACTGATGTCATAACACTGAAGCAGGGTGTCAATTTATAAATGTTGTAAGTGCAAAACGTTGTAACTCGAAATGTTGTAAGTTGAGAACTGCCTGTACTTGCAAGTAAATACTTCCAGGCAGGCATCTACATGTACAGGGAAGCCAGAATAGATTTGCTGCTCCCACTTCCTGGGGCCCTGCAATGGGCCCCTGCTGCCACCATGGGGAGCTCTAGGCTGGCAGGGAGCGCTGGGCCAGGAGATGGCTGTCTCCAGGCTGGGACTGGGACATTGCACCCTGTCCCCAAGGGGCTGCCTGCTGCTGGGGCACGGACAGTGTCCCCCTGCCCCAGCAGCAGGGAGCTCCTGGGCCCGGCTCCCTGACTGGGAGTCATGATGGCGAAGCGGGGCTGGGAGATCGGGATCTTGGAGGTTGGGCATAAACGTGCTTGTTGCCTCAGCCATCCCTCATTGTCTAGTCACAAAGACCCCCGTTGTCACACTGCCTAATATCAAATATATCCATCTTCTGCTCAGTTAAAAATGTCCCTGTGCTACAGTATGCCCCATTGCTCATAAATACCCCATTGCCTTACACCATTTCCAGACAATGGAGATGTCACTGTCTCCTCCCTTCTTCTGACCACTTGCCATGCATACCAGTTCTGCTGCCTCTTCCATCCCCCTCTGCCCCATATCTAACTCCGCATTGCCTCTCCTGTACCCTGTTCAGCAAGTCTACACTTCTCTTCCCCAGCATTACTTAATCCTGGAATAGGAACCAGTTGCTAGGTGTCACCATGGAGACATTTTACAGGCATTAGAAATATGGCTAGAAAATTATCTTTTAAATTGCATGCATCAGGCTTATTTGGCAAGCAGGAAAGGGGCTGAGAGTGCTTTGGGTCCTGCCAGCCCAGCTGCCATCTGTTGAACTGCAACAAAAGCTGTCCTCTGATCCTGCCAGGTGAAACAGCTCTGTCAGCAGAGGGGAAGGCTCTTCCACCACAGGGAGTAGGAACCTTGGGTGCAGGGGGCTTTGAGTGCAGAAAAGCCCCTTCTCTGCTCCTGGGTATGCTGCAGACTAAGGAAGATTGTAGCATGCAGCAGAGTCTACTTAGCTTATAGGACAGAGGTAAGTGGCGTAAGTAGCTGCTTGATGAATTAGCTGCTTCTAAGGGAACTGAACTGCACTGTAACCAATAGGGAGGCACAGGCTGAAGGCACAGTGTCCTAGATCAAACTAACAGGTAATTTTGTTGATTTTACACAGCACCTTTAATATAGGAATCAATAGGATTTGACCAAAGGTTTGTACCATTTGCATGGCCTAAAAAGCTGCCTGTGTTCTTTGTGGGTGTCTTAACTGTCTTGCACGGTACCAGGTATTCTACATAAAAGACTGATATAGCATCCTTAGTACGTATATTTTGTCTCTTAGGGTCCCCCATAATTGGCTAGATCTAGCAACAGAATTACTACATTGGTAGCGCTGCAATTTCTCCAGCCTCCCTCATACTTTCCCCAGTCACCGCCTGCCCTACCCCACACAGTCACCAACACCCCATCTTCTCCCCCAGCACTCCTACCCAGTCACAAACACCTTTTGTCACCTCCTTCATCTCCCACAGTTGCAGACACTTCCTGTCGTTTCCTCTATTACCCTCTGCCCAGTGACAAATATTCCTGTTCCCTCCTGAATCCTTTGTGGCCAAGTCTGTTTTTTGGTTTAGGGGGTTGTGACTGGGTGAGCAGAGGATGGTTGAGGCAGTGCAGGTGTTTGTTACTGGGCAGACTGGGCGATTGGTGAGGCAGGGGAGGTATTGCTGTCTGGACAGGAGGATGGGTGGGACATGGGGGACTAGGTGCAGGGGTGGGTGACAATATGGTGATCTTTATGAGGTTTCAGATGGGGCCATGGAAGAGGTGACTGGGGTACTTGTGACCAAGCATGGATGGTGGGAGCGAGGGGAGTAATTGTGACTGGGCGGGAAAAAGATAGGATGAGATAGAAAATACTTATGACTGGGCACTGCAGAGATGGGAAAGGTGGTTGGGGTCTTTATGACTGGGTGTGAGAAGTGATGGAGGTTTTTATGACTGCTTGTGGGATGATGGAGATGATGGGAGTGGGGTAGTTGTTGGATGGGGGAAATGATAGGGACAGGGATGTAGGTATTTACAATGGCTGTGGGATAAGGGAGATAAGTGGTTGTTTATGACAGGGCTTGGGAAAGGGCAAGTGAGACTATGTGGGTGTTTGTGGCTGGGGGAGAGAATATGTGAGTGAGTCTAGGAGCTGAGAGCCCAGCCCTGACTGTCATGTGGAGCTGTTTGCTGGCTGATCAGTGGGGGAAGCCACAGGCTGCTCTTGGATCAGGAGTGGGCTCACAGGGCACGTCTACATGAGACGCTGACTGCGCAGTAGCCAAAAAATACTGTTCAGTAGCGCATCACAGCACAGATAGTACTAATACACTACTGCGCAGTATTATTATTCTACTGTGCAGCTGTGTCACCTAAAAGACATTTGCCGGTGCTACTGCACGGTAACTTCAGTTACTGCACATTTATTTAGTACTTTGTGCAGTAACAACTGCACAGTAGTGTCTCATGTAGATGCGCCCACACAGCCCCATAGTGGAGAGCAAGTGACATCTGCACCCCTGTAGGGCAAGTGCCTTGAAAGTAGTTGTAAGCAAGCTACTGCTAGAAGTAATCCAGGCAGCATAGTGCTCCCTCTGGTTGAGGCCAGACTGGCCCCTAGAGCAAAGGCTGGTGTTACTGATAAAGCCAGGTGGGCACCATGCAGCTGTGAGCTTCTCCTAAGGAGCCTGGTTTGTGCCAGATACCCACTAGAGTGACCACCCTTTTAAAATGTAAAGGCAGGATAGGGTGAGGCCTGCTTTGGCAAGGGTATCTCTTTGAGCCAATTAAATAAACAGTTTCAAAAGAAACCTGGGAGCAGAAACTCCTTTCTGTTACATCACAGGATGAGGAGCCCAGGTGGAGCTAAACCAAGGCCAGCAAGACCAGCACACACCCACACTATTTGAGTTGTGGGCACAGATGTACCTGGGCCAGTCACTGACAAGGGGTTGATGATGGCTAGAAAATGATATTTAGAGATTTGCTTTAGGAGTTGGCTTGTAGATGGAGTAGAT